TCCACAAATGAGTTCATACTTGTTGATAAATCATGTGTTGGGATCATCTTTGGGTCCTTAATCTTGTGTTAGACATTGTAAACAACCTATTCATCCTATGTATATGAGATTAATGATTGTTAGTTGTCATTTATGGGGTTTAATTAATGAAATATATGCTCAATTGAAATAATTAGGAAGTAATTTTATTTGAGGTTAGAATATTTCATGGGTGAGATGTCAAAGGGATTTGAATATTTTTCAAGACGACGAAATTTGAATTATTCATTGAATATTAACTAAATAAAGTTTTTTTTTTTAATGAAAATCTACATACATACCACACAACTCTATTATATATTTCTCATACAAAAGTTTTGTGATATTGAAATGACTGATAGTGACACAAGATGTCCAATTGGTATTGCTCATAAAAATAGACCCTCAATGCCCAAGCATCTATAAGAACCTATGTCCCTTAACTCAACCTAGGTCAAGCTTTGGAAATGGTTCTCTACCCATTAATGACAAAATTTGTGGTGGGTGGCGAGCAAATCATCCAAACAACAATTCTCGATGGTTACCCCTGTGAAGGCTATGAAAAGATCCGCTTAATTTGTTTGGTGAAATGCGAGGACCATCGAAAGTGACTACCTGACCAAGCAATAAATGCATAGGAAGTGTAAGACTTGAGTCAGTGATGAATAAAAAATGACCAAAAATCTCTTTAGAAGAAATTGAGCTATCGAACATCACAAACATCCATCAAAAGTAAGATAAGAAATGTAGTAAAGGTAAAAGGAAATGGCAAAAACTAGTAGAAAAACCTATTTCATTTTATAAACAAAGTAATTTTAAATTTCCCATTGTAGGACCTTCTTATATGATTTACATTTTGAGTAAAAGAAAGGAAGAATTTCCTAAGAACAAATGGGTCCGAGATGAGTCAAGCATTGGATGAAACTCCTTCATCTATGACTTTCTTCTTCCTCCAAATCCTCTCCGTTGTCCTTCTCTTCTAGAGCTAGCTGCGAAAATAGAACAATGAGCAACTTTGCAAACTCATCCAAGTCAAGTCACTTACAGTCTACTAATTCAGCTTGAACAAATTAGTCGATCGCCATAATTATCCAAATAGAATATGTCTTGCCTAGCCAACTATGAACTCTTCCTCTATCATCATGGTTGTTATTTCATCCTTCAAAGTTCTTTAATCTTTCTGGACAATAGAAAAAAAACTATGACAGGCGGTACGACACAACCTCAATCCTTTCCAACTTTGCCTCAACAATAGTAGCTCGTTTGTCAACCTCCGTGGCTCTTTCCTCTGTAACCTTAGCCCTCTCCTTGTTTTAATCCATCACTTTTCTACTTCTACCAATATCCGTACTCATTAATGAGAATCAAATACTGGAAGTGAGAAGCTTCCTAAGCTGTGTTATCGTAGCGATAGACTATCTTACAAAGCTCTTGATGAT